TCCTTGCCCTGTTCCTAGTCTGAAGCATCACCTTTGGAGCATCAGCTAGTTAGTATAGCCTGAAAAGTGTTGTTGGCTACTCTGACTGCTGATAAAAATGTATTTTGAAATTAATTTGTACCCTTCCAGACCAGCCTCTAGTACATGTGTGGGTGGCAGCAGAGGGCTTCCTACACCTTCGTGCAAGACCCCAGCAGACCACACTTGCTGAATTTTATTCAAGCCATCATATCAGCAAGTGAGCATCAGCTCAGTCTTCATGCATGGGGAGGTAGGGCCAGAAGGCACAGTGTGGAGATAACATCATATTCAATTGTGTTAAACCCCTTCTCCTAGCACAGGTAGGTCTGGTTGATACCACATGCCACTGTTAGGGCATCCAGGGATCCATCTTCACAAGAGGAATGCCAAGGTATTGCTACCTGATATGTCAACAGCTGGAACAATGACTGCAACTTGCAGGGCAGGACATGGTGCAAATCAGGGGTTTGACCTTTCTGTTTTAAAGGGAAACTTATTTTAATAGAGAAACCCATTTTTAGAGTGCAAGTTGAAACCAAAAGTAGATGTTTGTCTTCTAAAGAAGCTAGGTCTTTAATTCTTGACTTGTATTTGGAAATAACACTTGCTACACACAAATCCAACTTTGTCTCTCTGTTTACAGAATTGCAAAATAATCCCATTAAGGAGACATTCTTGAGCAGCTGCAGCAAAAATTACAAACAACACCACCCTTTCTCCCCCTTCATAAGGGCCATAAATAAAAATGATAATTTTCCATGAGATTTTACATGTTGAACTTAGTCTGGCTATCAAATAGTACCAGTTAAAAGTACTCCCATCCCAAGGTTAAGAGTTTCTTAAAGATTATTTTTAATTTGTACTTTTTCAGTATAAACAATGTATAAACAATCTGAGTCCAAATTCGAGGTACTTTCCTATTTAGGAAAAAACCCCACAAAACCAAACCAAACCTCAGCAGATCTTTTTTACTAATTTATGAACTAGTAAAGATTAATAAGAACTCTAGGATTGAATACAAAGAGTCAGCTAAAGAAAGGAGAAAACATTCTTGTAAATTCTCAGAAGAGACAACCAATTTTTGGGCATGTTACACAGCATTATGTATTCCCAGTTTTGGAGCTGAATGCTGTAGGCAACTTGCCCTTCATATTCAGTTTCCATTTATTTTGGCTGTAAATCATAACCAAGCAGGTATCAAGCCATCTGCTTCTATCCTCAGCAAATGCAGTAAACTGCCCCAATATGCAAAGGATTTAATGAATGAAAGGAATGTGGCAGCAGGGAAAAAGAAAAAAAAAAAAAAGAAAAAATCAACAAAGGAATAAAAGTTCAATATTCCATTAAAGGCTATCATAAGCTCCAGCACAATAATTTGATTTTTGACAAAGCTAGTCTTGGCAAACCTCTAGAAACAGTGAAAGTGGCATATACAATTATTTTTTTCCACAACAGGCAAATTCTCAAGACATGCAGAGTTTTGGCTCAAGCAAGTTAAAGGTATAAGAAAGTCATATCTAAAGCCTATTCACATTTCTCAAATTTTCAGAAATGAGACAATGATTCAACTTTGACAGTCTGTGCCTTGCTGGTTGTCCAGAGAATAAACTTGAATAATAACCCAGACTGAGGGGAGACCATTCTCAAAAGCTTTCGCTGCTCAAAACAGTTTAGTTAGTATTTAATTTTAAAACTTAATTTTTAAAGTACTTGAAGGCTTTGAGCAGAGAGCACAGATGATGGAAAAGGAAAGGGCTATCCATCTCCTCTAATTTACATCAACAAGAGCAGCATTCAGACAGCTGCAAATGTGTGCAATCACTACAGGAGCCCTGGCTTAGTGGAACTTTTCTTGAGCTATCAGCCTGGGAGTTGGGATTAATCAGCTGTGCTGTAGGCTTGGGAAGCTACACAGCATCCCTTAATGAGGAAGGGGGCTGGGAATTTTTAGGGCCATATTTTAGGGCCGATGCACAGTGAAATGGAACAGCTTCAAATTACTTCAGGGGCATCTGGACCAAAGTCTCAATGCAAAGATTTGCTCCTACCTTTCAAAAAAGAAAAACACCCTTGTTTCTTTGTAGTGCCATCAACCTTGACAGAGCACTTGGATAAAGCTACTTCTGGCTGTCAACAGGGGTCAGCAATCTGGCGTTAATATCCCACGCCTGGACGTGTCCAATGCAAAGTGATTCATTCCAGCTCAGATGCTCAGGAGCAGAGCCCACTGTCCTCTGCCATCATTTCTGCAAGAAACCAGCCTGGAGCCTGTGTGAGAAGGATGTGGTGCTACCAGCACTTTGTGGAGGATGTTTGCTGTGCAACCACAGCCACGCTGTATTCCTAGACCAAGGCACGAGAGGATGCAACATCTAAGCACTTAACATTATAAGCACATGCCAAGGCTTCTCCTCTCATCTTTTAGGAGAAAAAAAGTTCACCTTTACACATTTTTAAAGTAATTACATCCTGAGGCAGACTCAAGAGCATTCGTATTTGATTACTATAATTTGACATTGTATTTTTTGACACATTCCAGTGCTGCCTGTTTAAAGCTGAAAATACTATGAACCAACCTAGAAAGCATTTTTATTTGAGCTACATTTTGGAACAAGAATAAAGGGCAATATGCTAGGAGAACTGAACACCTTGAGATAAGCATGAAGGAACTCCTGTTCTAAGCATGTCATTTCATTATCCCCAGAGGGATGAGAAAAGTCTAGGCAGGAGGAACAAGTCATCAGGGGGCTATCAGGCTCCACATCTATACATAGGTGAGCCTCTAGTGATGTGCTGACAGAGGGAAGATGCCACCAAAACATTAGGGGCTTTTGAGGATGAAAGATCTCAAGATAAGTTAGAAAATTGCATAGAAAAGCAGTATGAGCATATAGCTGAAGACAAAGCACGAAATTTGGAAGCCCCACAGGAGATGAGGTGTGTTCTTTACTAACCACAGTGGAAATGTTCTAGACCACTTCTGTATGATATACAAAAGATACACAGACAAGCACTTGGTGCATAGCACATGAAAAAGTTGGAAGCCCACACGTTTGTCTTTGTGAGCTTTGAAGGCAAACTTCTCCAAAACCTGGGGGAGTATTAAAACACCAGGGTGTGATTTGACCTTCTCTAAAAATTACTGGTCATAATTTTAAAGTATTAAAAACAGCGGGAGAAAAGCCTTGTTGCTGTCTCCAATGCTCAAAAAAGGGAGACTGAGCACAAGAGAGACTGGTGTGAGTCTCCCCACCATCACTTCCCAGCTTCAAATTACAATATTCTGCTGTTGCAGCCCAGATGACCAGAACACTTTAGAAATCACAAAAAGTGGAAATCCAAATACTTTGGTCCATCTTTGCACAACAGACAATAAAACTACTTCTGTCTTAACAGGTTGATGCATGGGGCTGCCTGAAGCAAGCTTGACCAGAGCATGTAACTTTACTTTCACAAGTTAAAGACATACACAAAATTTTCTCATAAATGTTCTTAATTTTATAATGTGAATTTACCAACAGAATTTCACTACCACATCTACCTTGCAATTAGGTGTTAAAAAATACTTTTTTTTTCTGTTTTTACAGAACTAAAATTGTTCAAAACAAATGTACCATATATAAAATCTGCTCATTCACTGTCATCAGTTCTGCCACGTTCATATCATGCAGAGGAGGTAAAAACCTTTTTAAAGAAAGGATTGTACAAAATTAGCAGGATTCCTCCCACCTTTGCATGTTGCTTTCTGGTAAGCTTTATGGACTGTTGTGTTAAATATGCTCTTTTTGATGCAACTTCACTTCGCTTTTTAGAAATTGTGAAATTAAAGCTTTGACAATGACAGGAAGACTATTTTTACTAGGAGTAGCAGACAGAGAATAAATAGTATTTCAACACAGACTTTTGGGGATTGTACTTACTTAACATAATTTTAAAAGCAGTTCTTTCTGTGGCACAGGCTTATTTTTAATCTCCTTTATTGATCTGTTTTCCTAACAATGAGCCCAAGCCATAGCAAAAGATACACCACAAAAGACTACATTTCAACACATAACATGAGCAAAAGTTGATTAACTTCATTTAGATCAGTTAATCTAGTATTATCAAGTTTTTAAGTTCTGGCTAATAGATCCTTTTCAGGCAATCTATAGGCATTTGTGGAAGTTTTATCCCAGAGAGACAGGAAATGAAGGTACAGATAAAAGGCAGATTTTACTGCAAACGTATTTTTTGACAAAGGTGATGATAGACTCTGGCCCTTGTTGCAGTTCCTTTCACCCTTTCAGATTTTAGTAGTTAACTCCATTTTTAAAAGCATGATCCCTCAAGATGAAGAATAACAAAAACATCAGTTCAGTGACCACCTATAAACCAAAAGTTGTATTAAATCTGTGCATTTAAAAACCATACCTAAAAGATATTGCACCCAGTAACCAATATGACCCCTAGGCTTGCACCCCTCATTAGCTGACACTTGATAAAAATGTTGTAAGCCCCTATATCTGTGGGGCCAAAATTAAGATAATTTTTGAGAGAGATTCTTGGCCAAATTTATTGCTGGCATAGTGCCAGGGAAATCTGTCAGGATGGATCTAATATGCAAGAGAAAAAAATTGCAGAATCTTCCAGACATTTAAATTCCCCCCTTAAAGCCATCTTTGCAAAAAATGCTTTAACATGTAGAAGAAAAACAGAATTGATAACTTTTGTAAATACACCTCTGCTTTTGACTCCTCTCAGATTTAGGAGCTTCACGACACCTAGAAAGAAAGCTGTCACAAAAATACAATGGCAGGAAAGTTTTTCACAGAACATATATAACTCAACTGCCAGTTAGTACCTTCTCCTCCAACACACAGTCTTTCAATCACTGTAGTAGAAATGGAAAAAAAAAGCACCCAGTGACTGACAGCTAAGCTTTTGTTCACAAACCACTCGAGAGATGTGACAAGTCTATCCAAAAAAGCCAAAGAACTTACCTCCTACAGTGCAAACACAGAGTACAGCAAGGAAAAAGAAGGCAGTCCCCAGGAGCTTCATGCTTGGTGGTAGTTCTGTCAGCTCTCCCTTAGGCAGCTGGGCAGGGAGTGCTCTTTCACTCTGAGGCAGGCCTTAATTACTCCATGGAAAAAGGTGTGTGGTGACTGTGCTTGGTCACTGCCCATTCCTGCTTATTTTGGGGACTTTGATAAAGAACAGGAGGAAACACAACATACTCCCACTGGGAGTTCAGTACAGAGGAGATTTATTGTTTCAGTCCTTACAGGAACTCCTTTTCTTTGGCAGTGAACCATGTTTTTGTTAACACATTATTTTGTTCTTCTTCAGTCATGAGGTCAGGAAGGTTTTTGAACAGAGGCAAATCTTTCCTTAGGAGATGCTATGCATCACCAGCTTTCATACTGGAGCTTGGGATACTTTTAAAGCACGTGTTTGTGAGCAGTGAGTGAGCCCAAGTAGTTGAGGATAACACAGCCAGGAACAGAGGAGCAAAACAAGCAGCAAGAGCTCGTGTCTGGCTCTTTTCTGGGCTGTGTAAGGTGGCCTTGGAGAAAATCACAGCTGTTTCATGTTAAAGGTAGGGAGTCTCCCTGAGAGAGCTGCCACCCTCAACCAACAGGATGCAAGGGCCACCAGAATAGGGAGAGGAAGTGGCTTCAACAAGTCTCCAGCAGTGAGAGGCTCTGGGCTGTGCAGAGTTAGAGTTGGGGTGGGGGTTTTTCCTTTACATGAAAATGGGCCCTTGTTTTTTTTTTTAAAATTTTTAATTTGAAAAGTTGCAACTAGCCTTGTTTGTATCTGCTCCATTAGTAATAGAAAGGTTTTTTTTATTCTTCTTTTTAGGAACTTGCTGTGCCATGGGATGGGAGTACAGACCCCAAAGCAAGCCTCTCACCTGAGCTATCTAATCAGCCAGCAGAGACTCTCTCTCTTCTCCTCCCCAGGATACACCGAGAAATTTTGTATCCCTTCTCACAACAATTTTTCCAGCTTCTGTGGAAGAAACCTAAGCAGAGCTCTAGAGTTAAAGGCTATCAAAACATGATCTTGTAATAGTTCTGTGCTCTGCACCGAAATGATTCAAGGCAGCTGATGGCAATTAATCACAAACCTTCAACCACAATGAGAATGAAGCGCAGTATGTTTGCTCTTCTCCCTCTTTGTCAGCTCTCAGGAAAAACTGACCTCATAAACAGCCTGACTAATTAAATAGCCAACTCTGCTTATTTCAGTAATGAACAATTTTTTTTCTCCATGACAGGTTCTAGCTATAAGGGGAAATTTTGGAATGGCTTCACATGCAGGAACTCCTTAGAGCTAACCCACAGTGCTTCTGGCCACAGTGTTGTTTTATCCACGGGATGAGGAAATTGGTAGCTTGGCATTGTGTGTGGAATCACAGAATTGTGTGGAATCACAGAACTGTTTAGGTTGGAAAAGACCTTTAAGATCATTGCACCCAACTGCTAACCCAACACTGCCAAGTCTACCACAAACTCTGTCCCAAAGTGCCACATCTACATATCTTCTAAATATCTCCAGAGATGATGAATCCCTGGGCTTCCCTGGGCAGCCTGTTCCAATGCTTGACAAGCCTCTCTGTAGAAAGAGGTTGTAGAAAGACGAAATCTTATATCCAGCCTGAACCTCCCCTGATACAAGTTGAGACAACTTCCTCTTGTCCTGCTGCTTGTTAATTGGAAGAAGAGTGACACAACTTTTGTTTAAAGAAATTACATTGCTACATCTTAAGACTGTGACAGGTCCTCTGCAGGTGACAGAAGCCCAAGAGAAATCTGATGGCAGAGAATGAATTTCTCGCACTTCATTTGGACAAACATAGGTATTTGCATCCATGAGATACACAAACATGTAAGTCCTCCATAGCTGGACTGTGTTTCCAGCATTATTGAAAAGGATCCACAGAAATAAAAACCTGACTCAGAAAGAGGTGGGCCACACAATGACACTTTTGCCAAGTTCATCGGAGCATATGGCAGGGAGTTGCTCCAGTGCTCTGTATTTATGCTCATTTTCTGCTGACGTAGGACCTAAAGTTAGAATGGGCTAGGAAAGCAATAACTACTGGAGCAGAAAGCCTTCAATAAAGATGACAAATCTTTATTGTGACAGTGAGTTCATCCCAGGTTACTACTGCTCCTAATGCAATAAGAGGGACTCTAACCTTTTATTGCCAGCACCTGAAATGTTAATGCTGAAGAAAGATATGGAGAGGGATATTATTTTATTGAGTGAAATGAAATCTCTTCAAGACCTAAGAGGCATGAAGGTATGAGGCAAGAATCCTTTCCTTGGGTTTTGAGACCCAGAGAAACTATCTGAATGCCCAAATGAGTAATGGTTTGCTGCTCATCTGAACAGCAGCACTCCAAGTAGTTTGCTGCAGCTGAAGATGGTAAGTGTGGTGGTTCCCCGCAACTCACTGAAGGCAGAAAGGGCACAAAGTGTTGCAGTCCTGCAATAGTCACCCATATTGTAGCTACAAGTGTGGAAAAGCCTCCCCAACCCCTCACAAGGGGCTGGGAGGGAAATAAAGAGAAAGAACCAAGTGTCTTTGCCTCACACTACGTCATCCAACTCAGGTTCTATGTCACAGAGCCCTAATGCAACTTTCTGCTCCCTGAAACATCAAGAGAACAACATCCCTCTCAGATACTCACGTCAATTTTAAAAGCAGCTAACTGCTGCTAGATCAAACTTGGGCAGCACCAGCAGCATGTATGTAAGAAACAATAGGAACAGAAGAGGGACAGCTCAAATATCTCACTGAAAGAAAAAATCTGGCTAAAGCTGAGTTGTAGCTTCTGGCTTGGATTATCTGAGCTGCAGAAGAGATTCTCACAACTCTTGTCAATGGAAATAGGGTTTTTTTTCTTTAACAAGAAATAATTTAAGGTTTCAAAAGCTTTTAGAGATCTTTGCAGCAAATGATTATTCTTCTATGTGTTCACTGAAAAGAATTCTTGTTTTTTCCTTCCTACCAGCAAATAAGTTTTGCTTTATTGAATAAATGTTTTTCTTTCTTTCCTCAAACTGAGAAACTTAGCTTCAGTGCCAACGTGTGCTTTGTTTTACTGAGAAATTTGGTCATCAGTACTCCTGCCAACTGTGGTGTTATTCCCAGTGTTGGGATATCTGGAGTTTCACTTCAAGCCCCAGAACAAGTGACTGCGTGACTCAGTTTTCACATCTTTTCAAGTAAGATTTTAGCCCTCCTGGTTGCAGAAGAAGACTTGAAACATGACCAAAGAGCACTCTAGAGAATGAAAGGACTCTCTGTTTTAAAATACCATTATTTTGTAGTCCAATAAGGGTTGGGGTAGCATGAGTTATATATTCATTTTTGCCTGTGTGGTATTTCATTATTAAAGGGAAACCACTTACAGCCACAGTGGATTTGTAGTTACAGCTTTATTGGTCTCTGGCTGTATTTATATATTCTTTCTTAGTTCACATTGCTTGGAGCATAACATTGCCTTTTCACGCACAGTTTTCCTATGAGGTTCAAACAGTCCCCTTCAGATTTAGAGAATGTAAAAATTTTACATATTGTTCAATATCCTTGAAGCACCACATAAAACAGGTAATAACATGGACAGCAAAGGGCTACCTTGCTGTGGGCTGCTGACAATTTCCAGTGTGGGTGTGAAGAGTCAATTTGTCAAAGTCTTTACAAAAGCAAAAATAAAAAGGTACAAAAAATACAGTCTTTGGTACTTTACTAAAGTGAAGAAACAAACACACTGACTAAATTTTTCAGCCTTTCCCACTGATGCTTGCTATCCTTTCCATTGATGTTTATTTTAATTCTTATAGCAAAATGATAAAAAAGAGCAAACTAAACTGAAACTCTATTGTTTTGCTCCATCTGTGTTTTAGCAAACACACCTAAAGCAATATTGCACCAGAAATTACCTATGACTTATCTGTATATTTCATTATACTTACGTCCATAAACAGGGTAAATTTGCATTGAAAAATGCAGTTGTAACAGTGCAGGAATATTTTGGTTTTAGTTATGCCTTCTGTCCTTTTAAAAATTGTTTTTAAAAGTATTTGGGTTTTAGCCTATTACATATATTAAAATTTTTATATAAATTAGAGCTTCAAAGAACTTGAATCTAGCAGTAGAAAACCAAGATATTTTAATGGCTATGTGTAGAAGTTTCTCTAAAAATTCATGCTGGGCATATTAAAATGTAGATATTTTGTTCTGAATTTTTTTATTGAAACACTGGAATATTTCATGGACTAGAAATGTCAGTATCCAAATTCTTCTGCACAAAATAATATTAAAAATATGAAAGACCAGGCTCATGAATGTATTTAAGTGCTCAAAAACCCAAGATAGCCACCTTTTCTTCATAGGATGGAACTACTTCAAACTCATTGACTTGATTTAGAGACAGCTGCTAATGTGAAAAATTCCACTAAATCTCTAAAAGTACCTTTATGAAGGCAACTAAAGACCAGAACACATTTAGTCCATGGAGGTTTTTTTACAAAATATTTTTCCAAGGCAATAGAATTACTGCATCTCTGGCTATCAGAGGATTGTTTATTTGCTCTACCAACAGACTCTGTAACAATATCTGTTACCACAGAGCATGTTCTTCCTGCTCTTTCCTACTACATGTCTTTCCCACTCTTACATACCTGGAACCCTACTGATACACCACAGGGACTCAAAACCTGTTTGAAGGATCTAGATCAAAGGTTATTCACTTGCAATAGGTATAAATCGGGCCTTTGTTTGTAGAAATGGAGTTGCAATGTGCAGCTTAACAGCCAAGGTGCTTCCAAGGGCAGCATCCTAGGTCCATTCTTTCACTATTAGTGAGCTACTGATGGGCAGATATTTTGATTTTGTTAGTCAGAGAGAAGCTTAAGCAGAACTACAGTAACTGAAAGAAGAAAGTTATGAAGGGAAAAATACTGCAGTCCTAAGTCATATTTCATGCTTAGATACGGGCAGTCAGAAGAGCTGGAAGAGAGAGACCATAAACCGTTGTTCTAGGGATATAAAAAACAGTGGGTTTGCAAACTTAGAGCAAGGAACTTCATGTCATGTAAAGACTCACACGGAATGTGTTTATAGGATCTGCATCCTGTCC